TGAACAGACCATTTTAAATTAACTTTAGCCCAGGTGACAGTTTCTGGATCATGTTCAGATATGGCTTCTTCTTTGCATAATAGAGCTTTAAAGGATAAGTTCGCCTTTGTAAATAAATAAATGCTCATCTTTTTGCAGGTAAAAAAATGTGTATTTTCTTTACTAGGAGCCTTTAAAACACTGCACCTATGATCAGCAAATCGGGGGGTACAATAGTGTTGCTGTCTGCCCATACCTCCAACAGAATGGCAGGAAGCATCAATGAACTACCTAGATTGCTCATCAGTACCCTGGTAGTTTGAGAACTACACGCCATCAGCCACAATGGCTGACATAAGTTACAGTTCTCCCATCACAGAACTTTGTGAATTGCGCGACCAGGTAGGTGCAGCCCTGAACAGCCGTATTTTTTTTTAAATTGTGACAGCGGGCGCAGGGAGAAGATCCCAGCTCTGCTTTCACAGTAAGGGATTGGGAAGGTGCAGGGGCTGCTGAAATAGCACCATGTTGCACCCTAAATACGGGTGTAACATGTTACAAAAGGTAATCCTTTAACCACTTTAAGTCTGGACGCTTTTACCCCCTTCCTGTCCAGGCCAATTTTCAGCTTTCAGCGCTATCACACTTTGAACGACAATTGCGCGGTCATGCAACACTGTACCCATATGAATTTTTTAGCATTTTTTTGAGACAGATAAAGCTTTATTTTGGTGGTATTTATTCACCACTGGGATTTTTATTTTTTTTTTTGCTATATAAATGAAAAAGTCCAAACATTTTGAAAATAAGTATTTTTCTTATAAAATTTTGCAAATAAATAATATTTCATCATAAATCTTGGCCAAAATTTAGTCAGTTATTTTTTGCGTAAAAAAAAAAAACCAAATAACCCAAATTAGTTTATAACCAAAAATAAGTTTTAAAAATTTTTTTACATTATTTTATTTTTGTACATTCATATTTATGTTTTTTTTTTTTTTTTTACACAGATTGCTTTTACACCCATAAAGGCTGTAAAAGCAATCCTTTCTCCTTCTCTTGAGAAATACTGTGTGAGCTGTGATTGGTCACAGCTTGTCACATGGTACAAGGCTGTTGTGAATAGCCTTGTACCATGTGACCTCTGTGATCATTCACAGATTTCACACATAGTAAGCAATGATGTCAGAAGTGACATCTTGTTTACTACTCTGCAGGTGATCACTGATTGGCCAATCAGTGATCACATGATCGGGACCTTGCACAGAGGTCCTGTACAACGATCGGTGTTCCACAGTGTCCGGAGGACACAGCGGGCACCGGATCGCGGTGCTGCGCGCTCCCAGTCCAAAATGGCGGGTGCCGTTTATGAACGCAAACCCGCCCCTGGACTGCCACCGTCCGGACGTTTATATACAGCGGCCGGATGGCAAGTGGTTAACTTGCATTTTTGGATGGCACGGCAAACTTTGTTCACAGACAGTGATTTTTGGAAATATTCCTGAGACCATGCAGTGATGTCCATCACAGAATCATGCCCGTTTTTAATGCTGTGATGTCTGAGGGCCCAATGATCAGGCATTGAATACTAGGTTTCAGCCTTGTCCTTTGAGCACAGAGATTTCTCCAGATTCTCAAAATCTTCTGATATTATGTACTGTAGATGCTGATGCATTTAAGCTCTTGTAATCTTACATTGAGGAACATTATTGTGAAATAGTTTTAAAAAATTTTTTAAAGGCAGCTTTTCATTGATTTGCCTATCTTTACTTCTGAGACAATCTGACTCTCTAAGATGCCCTATTTATACTCAATCTTGTTACTGACTTATTGCCAATTTACCTAATTAGTTGCAAAATGTTCTTCCAGCTCTTTTTTATTAGTACAAATTTGCCAGGTTTTTGTTGCTCTGGCCAAACTTTGAGAGGTGTTAATGCCATAAATTAAAAAAAAATATATCTTTGTTTATGAGATTTGCAAATTATTGCATTCTGTTTTTATGTAGATTTTACACAGCATCCCAGCTTTTTTGGAATTGGGGTTCTAGCAGTACTGAAGAAAGAATGTATCTGATGTGGCATTTGCACTTGCGAGATGACTATTAATGTATGCAATCAATCTGCCACCACCCTTGTGTCTAAGTCTAATCAAAAAGTGAAAATAAAAATTTGAAAAAATGATTAGCCAAATTGAAGAGGCTGGCAAATGATGTCATGATCTCCACCTCTACCATAGGAAGCCTTGTATTGATTAAAATGCAAGGCATTCAGTGACTGCCTACAAAGCATTCAGCCTGACTCGACTTAGTTCCAGCAGAAGACGGGAAGTCCCTGTAACATTGCCGAATGCAGCACTGTAGACTATGTAGCTGAAACCCCATTTCTAGCTGCTTACCTACCCAAGATAGGCAGGTTGCTCCATTGTTTTACATGGTCTGGGAGTACATCTTTTCCATAAACTGTCTTTTCAGTCAGGATACAATACAGCCTTGTAAAAGTCTAGGGGGGGACTCGCGGTCTAGGCATGGCCAACACTGAGGAGGATTTCCTCCTAGAGGATGTGAACAGTGAGGATGGTAGGCAATCTCCTGCTGAGGTAAGAAAGCAGCTAGGCAGGGGGTTTCTAGATTACATTAGGATAGGGGCTAGGAAGAATTGTCAAGTGTATTTTTTATGTCAGAGGCTATATTTTTACTTTTGAATAGAATAGGAAAGGGTTAAAATCTGTCAGCTTATTTTTTTTTTGCTCTCAGTGTCCCCTTAAGATTTCCTATAACTCTCTGCCCTGGAGGTGCATCAGCAAGCAAGAGGAAATCAACAGTCCAAAACAAGGTGACGCCTCCTCTCAGACAGGTGTCACAGAAACTGGAGGTTGGAGAACAGGTGTCATAGGACCTGGAGACACAAGTTTACACTTCCCTACTCTGCAATGGAGTTGCATAGAGCAACCTCAATCCTCCTTCTCAGGTCCTTCGCTGGTGCTCCTGGCTTCTCCTCTTCTTAGTGTGCCGCCATAGGAAAACATTTCCTATTGTGGCACACCTGCAGGCTTGATCACAAGCTGTGCTGCCTGTGTCAATAGACACAGACCGTGAGGCTGGGCCCTGCCCCTACTCCCTCCTCACAGGCTGTGACTGACAGGAGAAGGCGCAAAGGGGCCTTTGGGCCAGTAAGGAGAGAAAGACAGCAGTCTGCTGCTCACTGGTACAGTGCTGGATCAAGATCAGACTTGGGTAAGTATTTAGCTGGGGGGGGGGGCGGTAAAAGTTGGAAGGTTTTGTACCTTAATGCACAGAATGCAAGGTAAAAATTATTTAGCCTTTACAGCCACTTTAAATAAAGAACACACCCCACAACTTTCCGGGAAATCCACAATACAGTTTACTTTCATTTTCAAACAAATACACAAAGGTTAACTAATAATCTTAAAGGGATTTTCCAGAAAATGACAGAACCTCTAAGTGGAATGCCTTTGTGTGATACTTAATGGGTATCCGACTTCCAACAGATACCTCAGCTCACTGTCACATCAACAGGGCACAATACGTTCACTAAAATCCACTGCAGCCATCCATACCGTGAATGACAGTACGTGTAACACTGGCCTGTGTATCTGCATTTACTCAATCGCATGTGTAGAGCGCATTTCCCATAACACGGCAGTGGCATGGGACAACGCCGATTCACGCGCTATCAGCAGATGGAGTGATAAATTACTAAAGAGGTGGTGTGTTTTACCCAGCCAATGTCATTCTTAAATACACTATCAGGTTAAAAACTAATGTTAGGCAACATTTAAAACACAATGTAAAAATACACATAGGATTGATAAACAAAAAGTAGTCAAAAAAAATATTTAAAGGGGGAGCACAGTGGCTAAATGGTTAGCACTTCCACCTGGTAGTACTAGGGTCGTTGGTTTAAATCCCAACCACAACATCACCTGCCTAGAGTTTGCATGTTCTCCCTGTGCCTGGGTTTCCTCCGGATACTCCGGTTTCCTCCCACATCCAAAGACATGCTGGTGAGTTTATTGACCCCTGTCTAAATTGGCCCTAGTATGTGTATGTATGAATGTGATTAGGGACCTTAGGATTGTACGCCCCTTGAGGGTTAGGGACCGATGTAAACATACAATATATATGTAAAGCGCCGCCTAAATTGACGGCGCTATATAAATACCTGTAATAAAAAATAATAAAAAGGGGTATTGAACTCAAATTTGGGAAAAAAAGCTGACAGAGAAGACCCTAGTAGCCTCTTCTGTCACACATGCCTCCCCTTGCCTGTCAGCAGTAATGTAATCTGAGCTGAGCATGCACAGCTCACACCACATTTATGGCACTTGTGTGCTGTTGTGACACGACTCCAGTGCACATGCGCAGGAATGATATCATTATGCTGCCACCAGAAGGAAGATCGGGTGAAGATGGAAACACCCAGGACCAGTGTTGACAGCACTGCACTGGAGGGCTTTGTTTGACAGGTAAATCTATCTTAGGGCTTGTTTACACGTGCTTCAAAATGTGGCTTTGGACACGCTTTTTTTAATCACTTGCCCTCCTGAGGATTTACCCCCCTTCCTGATGAGGCCATTTTTTGTGTTATGGCACTGTGTTAGTTTAACTGACAATTGCACGGTCATGCAACACTGCACCCAAATGAAATTTATAAAAAAAAATTCCCACAAATAGAGCTTTCTTTCAGTGGTATTTGATCGCCTGTGTATTTTTTTGCACTATAAAAAAAAAAAAAAAAAAAAAAGACCGACAACTCTGAGAAAATAAACAATATTTTTGACTTTTTGCTAATAAACATGTCCAGTAAAAAAAAAAAATTAAAAATTAAATTTCGTCATAAATTTAAGCCAAAAAGCATTCTGCTACATGTCTTTGCTAAAAAAAAATCCCAATACGTGTAAATTAATTGGTTCAGGTGAAAGTTATATCTTTTACAAATGGCGGCATATATGCTGGACTTTTTTAAAAATTATTTTTACTAGTAATGGTGGCGATCAGCGACTTACAGCGGGACTGTGGTGGGCATTCTGACACTGGGGGGAACTGACTAACTGCCACCCCCAGGTGACACCAATACAGTGATCAGTGCTAATAAAAAGCACTGACACTGTACTAATGGCGCTGGGCAGGAAGGGGTTAACATGTGGGGCAATCAAAGGGTTAAATGTGTGCCGTTTTACAAAGTGTGCATCACTGTAAGCACACTGCTTTGCATGGCTGACAGGGGAGAGAACTGTTTTGTTTACAAACAGTTCTCCTCCCCCATCGGAGATGCACAGCAATCACTGGGCTCCGGCGAGTAAGTACCGGCTGGGACCCGGTGAATGACAACCAGGCCACAAATGGCGGCGCAGGTAGGGCGCGCGCACCCCCTACCCAGAGATGCAGAATCACATATATATACGTGATTTTGTGCACCGCTACCGCACTGTTGCAGTATTTATGCTATAGGGTGGCAATAAAGCAGTTAAAACACTCTGAATGTGCGAGTTAGCTCCCAAGATACGCTGTGTGTGTCAATGGGCACATTGCCGCGGGAACTTCAAATCCCCAGACCTGTGAAGCTATGTTATCTCTCCTCGCCTTGCAGGGATGGCAGTACGAGCTAGATGGCTTCTGATTTGTCAGCACCGTGAAGGTGCGGGCCAATCAAAAGCCATCTATCCCGTATTGTAATCCCTGCACTAAAACCCGCAGAGAACTCAAATCCCCAGCTTTTCCTTCTGCGACAGCATGGGATCTGTGCAGGGAGGTTTCCAGCACCACTCTGGTGTGAGTTTAGGCTATGACAAGCCTGGGTTCACACAGGAGAAGTGGGGAATTGCATTGCTTTTCAAATGGCATCCTATTCTTTGCGGTACAATTGGCGTCCATACATTTTGTATTGACGCAAATCACACCGCAAAGTATCGGTACTCGGTATCAGCGAGTACATGATCGAAAGTATCGGTACTCGTACTCAGCAATCAAAAAAGGGTATAGGTGCATCCCTAATAATTTCTCCAGGGACAGCTGAAACAGTAGGATGTTTTTCAGCAGATTTTCCTCAGACGTTACCACTCTGGTAAGGATAGGTGTGTGTCAAAAAACATTTAACTCTGGAGAAAACGAATGCAAAATCCCAAAGGAATGAGTACAGTGCAAAGATGTTCACCCCAAGCCAAGGAGATAATAAAAAATTAAAAGCTGATCAATGTTAACTTAAACTGGCTATAGATGCCTGCTGAAATTTGCAAGATTCCATTCATTTATGTGCAGGCTGTTAGATTTTTTTCATGTGATCAATGCCAGCAGATATAGCTACCAGCAGTGATCGTTGTGCTCTGCTGGCAGAACTCAATAGTGCTGCGGGAGGAATTACTCCAACACTGTTTTGATGGGGGAATTGAGCAATTTTCTTTCCATCCATGGTGAAAGGAAAGAAAAAAGGAAAGAAAATTGCACAATCTATGAGCTGCTTTAGAATTGTTGCTCTCACTGCAACATTCACAGGGGTAACCTGCAAAGTCTCCCCAGCCCAACAGTGCAGCTAATCAAGCACAGATCGTGCTTGACTAGCTGCTCCCCTGTCCATAATAGTCAGGGAGTGACAGCTCTAAATCCAACAGTAATAAAAACCTTGTTGCTTCCAGGTTCATTTGTCACATCGAGGATCGGGTCACTTTTCCATGACAGTCTCGAGTAAGCTGAAAATAACAACAAGCTCACGGCTGCAGCAGCAGCCAATAGCTTGTTTTACCCCCTTTATAAACATACCTTGGTAGACAAGAGGATTAATCTTTTTACACATTGTTAAGCAGAAAAATCTGCGTGCCTGTCCTCTCTGCTTGCACCGTGCCGTTAATTCTTTCTCTAAGCTCCTCAAAGATCACAGTAAAGACTAGTGGTGCCCCGAAATGAAAATTCAGGTGCCGATACCGAAAATTCAGAATGCGTGTGGGCAAAAATCAAACCGAAACTGAAATGGTCTGCGTATGTGGGGGTGGGGAGGCTACAATTTTTTTTGCTTTTTTTTTTCTACTTTCATGTATATTTTTATTTTTTTTAACTTAGGATTTTATTGCTATCACATAGGGGACCAACAGTTCCCTATGTGATAGCATATGAATGAGTGACAGGTCCCCTTTGTAGGGGGCAGGGGGGGTGGCGTGTGCAAGGAGGGGGCAGGAGAGGAGCAGTGTATACAGTGAGGGAGCAGTGCATACAGAGAGGCTCCCTCACTGGCTGTCACTATAGGTCAGTGCCAGTTTTTAAATGCAATTGCCGGCTTTTTTTTTTTTTCTTCACTATAGCTCACAGAATTAGCTGTCACTTTCCCCGGAGCTAAAGAAAACTTTGTTTCTTTTAACTCTGGGAAATAAACTAAAAGGAAACTTTGTTTCTTTAGCTTGGGGGGGGGGGGGGGAAGTAACAGCCCATTCTATGAGCTATAGTGAAGGGAAAAAAAACAAACAAAAAAAAATACAAAGCCGGTAATTACATTTAAAACCCGGTACTAACATAGTGACAGCCAGTCACTGTATACAGTGCTCCTCTCCTGCCTCCTGTACCGGCACCTGTATCGGCTACATGCCGATAGGGCTATTTTCGGCCGGAATGTTTCGGTGGCTGACATTTCAGTGCATCCCTAGAAAAGACTCTAGAGTTTGGTTTCAATTGGGTGTAAGGCTAGGAGACTGTACGCATTTTCACGTGCTGATGTTTTAAGTCTATGAGACCACACATGCATGTTGATGTTCCAAAAAAAAATCAACTACAGTATTTTTAGCTGACACATAGAAACAACACACAGGTGTACAGGCCCCATAAGCAATAATAGAAATCTTCTGGTCATGTGTTGTCAAACGTCAGGTAATACTGACATAGTACAGTAACTGCTGCCTTTTTGCAGACATATAATCAGAGTGAAGAACCTCTTTAATCGATGATGAGGTGAGCTAGTCCTGAGACATAACTGGGTGGGTGATGGGACTGCACTCCCATTTCTGGACATCTAGCACCCAACTGTGTTATTTCTCTATTTGTATCACTTGAGGCACACCCACTTCTACTCTCCCCTTTGCCTGGGGAATGTTTGTTGGTTGCCAATCTGGTCTGTACACATTCAGATGGTATATAACCTTAACAGGGAACTCCACTTTTCTGATGGGAAAAAAAAAGAAAAGAAAAGAAGAGTTGCATATAAAAATTGCGACACAAGTCAGATTGTAATTGAATGGTATTAAAAATCACCTTTCCTTTTTAATCTGCAGCTCTGTCATTTTCTTTAAAATTCAATGCATTGTGGCAGCCTGAAGGCATTCTGTACACAGATGGTGTACAGAACACCCCCCAGAAATGGCATTTCCTGCTTCTGTGATTGGCTCACTAATTTTCCCAGAAGTCTGCAGCCATCAACAACTCTACCCCCAGCTACATCACTAACCTAGTCCCAAAATACCAACCTAATCGATCTCTTCATTCCTCCTGCTCTAGCTCCCTTGCCGCCTCCTCCCATCAAAAAAAAAAAAAAAAAAAAAAAAAAAAAGCACCGCAAAACGGACAAAACACAAACTGCATTGGTGTGAACCAGGCCTGAAATGCATTGAAAACTTATGCACAGGTGTAGCATTTTTATGCGTTTTTAATCTGCCCAACATGTTGGCCAAAAAAATTTTTTCTAAAAACGCAAAATGCATAAAAAAAAAACATCAAAAATGTGTGCAAAAAAGCACAGAAAAACTGACAAAACGCAAACTGCATTGGTGTGAACAAAACCTAAAATACATTGAAAATGCATCACAAACGCCCGCGTGTTGTGGTTTGATGCGTTTTTTGAGTCACATAACCTATTAAACATGTACCCCAAATGATCTATTAGTGGCACCCAACCTGGAATTCTACTTTAAAGGTATAGTTCACCTATAGCAAAAAAACAAACCTGCCTTTGCAGATAAGTGGTGTCTGTAGATCAAAACAAACTGTTCAACTTTGACCAACGTTAAAGAATGCCCTTGCTATAGGTGTTGCCCATTTATGTACCTCATGAAGCCTGCCTGGAAAACTCCCAGGATGTTGCTAGGACGTTGCTAAGTAATGCCCAGCTGTTAGGTTAGGCTCACACTAAAATGCGGTGCAGGAAACCTGTGATCCTTGTGCGTTTCCCACATCGCATTCAGAAAGCACTACAATTTCAATCAGCAGTAGCTATCAATGTTACATTAACAACAACCCATACACAGGTTGCAAACACAGTGAGTCTGCCTGCACCAGATCACAAAAGTACAATGTCATCTGATTGCAGTGCATTGCCAAAGGTCGAGCATGTACTGTTTTTGGTGTGATTTGAGCCCATTCAAAACTCAATCGCATGTGAAATGCACAGAAATGTTAGGTGCGTTCCCGTGTGAATCATAGTGTGAACAGGGGCTTTCTGTTCACCTGCACAAGAGTGAGCGCTTTCTCTGATTCAAACCCTATCACATGCAAGATGTTCCCTGGTGCATTAGCTCTGAGCTCGGGGTTTGAGAGCTCGCTCCTCTGAACCTGAACAGTAACCAATCAGGCTTCATGAAGCACGGAAATGGTCTACACCTATAGCAAGGGCATTATTCAAATTTATGCACAGGTTTTTTTTTTCTACAGATGTCCCATATCTGCATTGGCAGTTTTTGGTTAAAATGAACTAACCCCTTGGGAGAAGAAGGGATTGTGGGGATAATGTATGGGAAAGGGGAAAATCTCCTAGATTGTAAGCTCCGAGGAGCAGGGCTCTCCTATCCCTCTTGTATTGAACTGTACTGTTGCTGTATTGTCTCCCTTTATATTGTAAAGAGCTGAGCAAACTGTTGGCGCTATATAAATCCTGTATAATAATAAAAAAGGGGAAAAAAAGGAGTTGTTGAATGTTATGATACTGTGTAAGGATCTTTAAATATTTGTATGTGAAAATGTGGAACAGACTCCCTCAAGAGTTTGTTCTGGCCAGCTCAGTGGGTTGCTTTAAAAAAGTCCTGGATTCTTTCTTAGATACACAGAATATAACTGGATACTAACATTTATAGGTAAAGTTGATCCAGGGAATATCCGATTGCCTCTCGGGGGATCAGGAAGGAATTTTTTTTCCCTGAAGGAGCAAACTGGATCATGCTTTGCTGGGTTTTTTTGCCTTCCTCTGGATAACCTGTGGGTGTAGGATTAGAACTTTTTTTTTTTCTATGGTTGAACTGGATGGAATTTTTGTCTTTTTTCAGCCAGACTATGTAACTATGTAAATGAAAGCAATAAAACTAGAATAAAAAAAAAAAAATGAATTGACCCTTTGAGAGTCACATAATGAAATTTCATTCGAATCGATGTGCTGCAGTGATCTGTGGTGTTAAAATGTGGACAGGCTACGCCACAACGCAGGGTTATGGTGTGAACAGAACACATAGACAACAATGTATTTATACAGCGGTTGGACAAAAATAAAATGGAAAAAAAACCCATGATTTGCAGTTGACAAGTTTTGCATTGAAAGCGGATGTATGGAAGTGATGCAACATTCTTTTGCTTCCGCTGTGTGATGAGACACCTAGCTAACAGGTGGGAAGCCTCACTTTCGTCATTCACTGCGTGCACTGCTAGTAATATGGAATCATGTCAGAGCTTACTGAGCTTCAAAGAGGGCAAATTGTTGGTGGCCGCTTAGCTGGTGCCTCTGTGATTGAAGTTGCCATGTTGCGAGGTCCAGTATCAGAGGTTATGATGGCATATACAGCTTGCAGGAAAATGTCATCTAATAAACATAAGTGCGGTCTACATGGTAAGCTGACTGAAGGAGACAAAAGGACATTGAGGGGGATTGTGACCCAGAATAAGAAAACAACTGCTGCAAAAGTTACTTCAGAGGTCAGTCTTCACAGGAATCAGTCTTCATGAGACTGAGATTGAGCTCTGCAGTCACTTTTGCAGCAGTTGCTTTTTTTAATCCAGGTCACAATTCCTCGCAATGTCCTTTTGTCTTTTTCGGTCAGTTGACCATGTCAACCACGCTTATGCCTATCAGACGACATTTTCCTGGAAACTGTATATTGCATCATAATCTCCAATACTGTACCTCGGGACATGGTAAATAAATTGGCAGCTTCACTCACAGAGGCCCCAGCTAAGCGGCACCAACAATGTGCCCTCTTTGAAGCTCATAAGCTCTGATACGACTCTGTATTACTAGCAGCACACGCAGTGAATGGAGAAAGTGAGGCTTCCCACCTGTTAGCTAGGTGTCTCATCACACAGCAAAAACAAAAGAATGTTACACCACTTTCATTTTCAATGTGAAACATGTCATCACTTTCACATCTGCAAATCATGTTGTTTCCATTTTTTGTCCAACCCGTGTGTGCCCTTGTGTTCAGCCTGCACTGATCTATGCGGACGGTGACCAGACCGATGCGGGTATCAGCGGGTAGGTGCGTCCGGTTAGGACATTGGTTCACAATGGCGCTGGAGGCGGCACCTGCTGTAAGTGAAGCTGACTTGATGATTGAGGGTGGAGGGATGCTTGTTATCACACAGAGGACAGCGATCCAATGACAGGTCACCTCCTGATGAATAGATGAGGCCCCAACACTCACATGTGACCAGCTCTCCACACACAACTCCACTCACTGCTCTGGAGGACACAACTTCTCCTATCACCCATAGAGTGCAATGGGGAGGACAGAGCCCCATCCTGACAATGGAGGAGTGCCCGGGCACTGTCCGCCCTGTGCCGGGGCATGTCAGGATGAATGGGACACGGATATCAGCTCTCTCACCTCCTCGCTCTTTAGCACCTCTTTGAACTCCCTCTTGATCCTCTGTGCGGCGATATTGGCCATGTCTGCTCCGCTGTTTGCTCTCCCCGGCCTGTCGGTGGATGTGGCGCTGGCCTGGCTGCAGTGACACTCGGCTGCTCTCCCGGGCCCGGATTCCTCAGCCTCCCCCGCCCCGGTGAACGAGCCCCCGACACAACACTCAACGGCAAAATGGTGGCGATGAGCATGCGCAATGCACTCCGCTGGAGGCCGCAGGAAGAACTTCCTGACAGGGCCCCGGCAACGTCATCCGGGCCCGCAAAGTCACCTGACACCGCCTGCACTCTGCGCCCTTGTGCGCATGTGCCCACTTTGCCGCTGCTTTTGGTAGTACTGCGGGATTTACTTGCAGAGAGGAGCAGACAAGTCATTAACAGCAACAGTGCACTGCTGCACATACTGTGCAATGCTTGACTTTTACTGCGCAATGCTTGGCTTTACTGTGCAATGCTTGACTTTACTGTGGGCTGCTACACCTACTGTGCAATGCTTAACTTTACTGTTGGCTGTTTTTTGCACTGCTACACTTACTGTGCAATGCTTGATTTTGTGATGTGCTGCTGTACTTTGCACTGCTTTGTTTATTGTACAGTGCTTGACTTTGTACTGCTACACTTACTGTGCAATGTTTGGCTTTGCTGTGCAATGCTTAACTTTGGGCTGCTTTTTGCACTACTACACCTACTGCGCAATGCTTGATTTTATAATGTGCTGCTGTACTTTGCACTGCTATGTTTACTGTGCAATGCTTGACTTTGCACTGCTACACCTACTGTGCAATGTTTGACTTTACTGTGAATTGCTACACCTACTGCGCAATGCTTGATTTTATAATGTGCTGCTGTACTTTGCACTGCTATGTTTACTGTGCAATGCTTGACTGTACTGTGTGCTGTTTTTTATTTTGCCCTGATACACTTACTGTGCAATGCTTGACTTTGCACTGCTACCTTTACTGTGCAATGCTTCACTGTACTGTGTGCTGCTTTATTTTGCACTGATACATTTACTGCGCAGTGCTTGACTTTACTGTGCACTGCTACGCTTACTGCGCAATGCTTTACTGTGAGCGGCTACGCTTACTGCGCAATGCTTTATTGTGAGCGGCTATGCTTACTGCGCAATGCGTGACTTTACTGTGAGCAGCTACGCTTACTGCGCAATGCGTGACTTTACTGTGAGCGGCTACGCTTACTGCGCAATGCGTGACTTTACTGTGAGCGGCTACGCTTACTGCGTGACTTTACTTTATTTTTTTGTTTTTTTCTGTTATTTTGAAAGTGTAAATGATGGAAATAAAATCTAACTTTTGTTGACATATTATAAGAATGTCTAATCTGTAATTTGATGCCTTTTGGAGATTTTTCCATCTTTCCTTGGCTTCTTTATGCACCTTAATACAAATTTTTAGCTGCGGTGCCCACACTTTCGATCCCCACTGTATGTGCAGAAAAACTGATGGAAAAAATGCACAGATTTCACTTGTAGACACAAGTTTACATCAGTTTTCATGCCTGTTTCAGTGACTTTCATACACATTGCAGATTCCAGTGCAGGATAAATGCGCATGTGATACCAGTGTTCTGTTGTGAACAGGGCATAAAGAATTATTGTTTTCTTTGTGTCCTTGCAGAACTCGTGCAGAAAAACTCACGTCCCTGCACATGATGTGAACAAGGCCTTGGGCCCCTTTTTAGAGTTACATTAACGTGTGCAAAAGTGTGCTCTTTCACGCATGTTCTAAACACACATCATGTTTGCAGTGCCATTCGTTGTTATTGGTACCCTAAATGCGACCAGTAGATGCACACAGCTCAATGCCCAGAGCTTGCAGAGATTCCCATTCATTTGAATGTGTGTACTGTGCAAAAATGCAATGTGAATGCAGGCTTAGGGTCGTTTGACATGGGCTTAATCAGTTCATTTTTTTTTTTTTTTTTTGTTAAGAGAAAGCTCATGAATATGAATTCAGGTTACATCAGTTTGCATATCTGTCTTCAGTTCAGTTTACACTTCAGTTCACCTTACATCTGTTCTTGCGTCCGTTTTTTTGTAGTTCTTGCGTCCATTTTTTTTGTAGTTCTTGAAGAAACTAATCGTAGGTGACAAAAGTATAAACAAAAAATATGTATTTTTGCCAGTGGCCAGTTCACACCACATGCAGTTCAGCACGTTTTTTTTTTGTTTCTGCATTAAAAACACATTGATAGTTGGTTACATAGATACCAATGGCATAGTTCACACCAGTGCGGTCAGTTCCAGTGTGTTCCACTTCTAGAAAAAAGTAGAACTTTCTGCACTGAACTGTACTGGAACGCAGTAAAACCCACCAGAATGCACCGGAACGCACATGTCCATCTGTTTACATCCATTCAGATCCATGTAAATGGAAAAAGACACAGCCTTGTCCCATAATAAAAAAAATGGACCAGAGATTTAGGTGGGTGTAAATGGTCATCCATTCACATCCACAAGCCTGTAGAAATGAATTGCTAACTGTGGTTTTTCCTGTAAGTGGACAGATGAAAACCAGGCAAACGCCCGTGTGAAAGGGCCCTTACTGCACTATGTTTGCCTTCAATGTGCATTTCTACACACACTGCAATGCTTGACGTTTAGGTCTCATTAACACCATCAGGACTCGTTTACACTAGGTGTGGTAGCTGACCTTTTCTTGCATCGGTTCAAGGCCAGCTATTGCAATGGCGTACTGAAAAAAGTGGTTTTCTGTGAGTCCTGTTCACACTGCAACAGAATCCTTGGGTGTCAAGCAGTGCAGTGTGGTCCATACAGGACCAGAGCCTACCTGAAGGCTCCATGTTTGTTTCTAAACGACACAGCCGAGCTGTGGTGCATAGAAATGATTGAAATGTTATTTTGATATTTCAATAAAATATTTCTGAAAAAAAGTACACACTGCGATGCTCAACGCCCTTTCCCAGACCTCCAACTGCCAGCACAGTAAAATTCTGAATTTTACCACACGAGGCCAGTGTGAATGGGCACTAACCACTACCCAACCATCCTATAGCATATATACTGCTACAGGGCGGCACGGGTGCACAAAATCACGTATACATATGCTATTTTGAATTTCCGGGTAGGGTGCGCGTGTGAGCAAGCTCTACCCATGCCGCCATTCGCAGCCGTGGCTGTCAATCACCGGGTCCCAGCCGATGATTACTCGCCGGCACCCAGTGATTGCCGAGCATCTCCGATGGGGAGGAAAATTGTATGTAAACAATACAGTTCTCCCTGTAAGCTCGTGCACACTGCTTTGCATGGCTGTGCATAGCACAGCCATGCAAAGCAGCGTAATTACAGTGTAAAGCACACACACAGCCCCCCAGTAAAACAGCACACAGTTAACCCTTTGATCGCCCCTCATGTTAACCACTTCCTGCCCAGTGCCATTAGTGCAGTGTCAGTGCTTTTTTCCCCTTTCGTCTTTCAGGCCAGCACCTTGAGAGACCTCGGCTCCTCCCCCTCTTAGGAAACACCTCCACCCTAAAATAGGGTGCAAGGTGCTGTCGCACAGACGGCAGGGGAGCCGAGGGTCGGATAGCCGGCTGAGAGGCTTGACGCAGCCGGGAGTGAAGGCCGGAGTGTCCGGCTGCATATCCTCCCTGGGCAGGCTGCGGTGCAGTGGGTGCGCACCCCAGGTAACGGGTAGGCACGTACCTGCTCTTCGCCCCCCCGACCCCCTCCGGCGAGTTGGGGCGTCAGGGTGGCTGTGGTGAGATCTGGAGAGGATCGGGTGGAGTCCCGCTCCTTCCCATGCTGGCGGTCAGGTGACTTTGCCGGGCTGGACGTCGGGAGACGGCGATTTCCGGTGGAAGGGGCGGGGCTTCGCCCAGGGCGGCAACTTCCGGTCGCGGCCCTCACACCACGGCGGCGTGAGATTCAAAAGGGCGGTGCGGTGCACAGCTGCCTAGGGGACAGGCCAGCACCAGGCGACCACCCTCCTGTGCGGGATGTCGGAGGCACCGGGACCAGGAGATGCCAGCTCCAGCCAGACACAGGTAAGGTGCCTCAGTGGAGGCCTCCCCTACCTGTTGGCCCCTAGCTCAAGGGGTATTCCCGGACCCTTGGGTGGTGAGGGTGTGTTAAGGGGTAGGGCAGGGGGTCTGCGGTGGGAGCAGGCCCTTAGGCTCTGCCGGGACGGAGAAGGGGGGGTGGCTTGGTGTGAGGTTAGGTTTGTCAGGCTTCCATCCTACCCCTTCTTTGTGTCTTTCAGGGCAAGGCTCGGGCTAAGCTCAAGCACCAGGAGCCTAAACGGAGATGCCCATCCTGCAAGGAAATTTTAAAAGAAACCTGGAAGAAGGTTCTTTGTGGCCCATGTATAGAGGGGTTAGTGAGGGAGGAGAGGCCTGAACAGGGGGACTTAGCCAGGTCTGTGAAGGAGTTGGGTAGCACACTTCGACTCCTTCAAATCCCTCATGGAACGGTTTGCCCTTCCCCAACCTACAACTCTCCCCCCCCCCCCCCCAGTAGCCTCAGTAAGTCGGAGCAGGGAACTCCTCGTGACTGGAGAGGAGGAAGGGCCATTGGGGGATTCCCAGTCTGAAGAGCAAGGGGGCTAGAAGAGGAGACCCTTTTGCAAGGGGTAGGATATATCACGGACGCTTCCGCGGAGTCGGTGAGGTTGGGGGCTAGGTCAGCTTCCCTAACCAATTCGGCTAGAAGGGCGCTGTGGTTAAAGACGTGGCAGGGGGACATCACTTCAAAAGTTAGATTGTGCGGCATCCCCCTCACAGAACACTGTCTATTCGGCCCAGGGTTGGAGGAATTGTTGGACCGGACGGCTGACAGGAAGAAGTCCTTTCCCCCTCAAAAGGAAGTTGCAGGAGGGAGGGACACGAAAGTCCCGCCCGGCAAAGAGACTGAGCCTGAGGCCAGTAGGTCTGCAGGGCAGAGAGGTAGGGGCAGGGGGGGTGCGATTTTTCGCCCTCCTGAGCAGCCCCAGAAACCGCGGTGACTCGGTTCCTCCTGTGGGAGGAAGACTGGCGGCTTCGGTAATGGCCTATCTGGACGACTTGCTGCTCTTCGCAGATTCAGAGGCTCACCTTCGGCAGAATCTGGTTGTATTGAGGGGCCATCTAGAAAACCTGGGGTGGATTTGGAATCTAGAGAAGTCCTGTCTGGTGCCTTCTCAGAAAGTGGTTTACTTAGGTTACACTCTGGATTCAGTAAGTCAGAAGACCAGTCTGACTTCGGAGAAGGTTACCAAGTTGGAGGCA